AGTTTACTTTGGACGAATAGATATCTATGTTGACAAATTATTTGCCACTCGAGGATGAAAGATCATGTCGTTTAAAATGAAATTAATGCATTATAAGCTAATTATGTGGAATCCAACTCATAATTAGTTTCATGTTAAGAGCATGATTTCATGTTTTACTTAAGAAACATTGATTAGCACTTATCAGCTTTAAAAAAATAAAAAAACAAAGAATGGTTGCGACGTCGCGTTAGAGTTGAGGAGGTAATGAAGAACCCTAATTCTTCAATTATGTGGTTACATGTAATGTAAAAAGTTTTAACTTGCTATGAATTGATATATATATATATATATATATATATATATATATATATATATATATATATATATATATATATATATATATATATATATATGCCACTTGAAGCTGAAGGCATTTGCATTTAAAATGAGGTTAATGCATATGGTGAGTAAGCTATTAATTTATTGTGGTTTCCAACTTCAAAATTCGAGAATCAATTATATTGTGGATTAGTGATAAAATTTATAAGAAGGAGCACTCTTGCTTTAATTTCTTTCATGTTAAAAGCATTAATTACATGTCCCGGTCTGAACAACAAATCATGATTAATTTGCGATAGCATACTTGTTTTAACAAACAAAAAAAAAATAGAGTTCATCATGCATTGCATGCGTGAAAAAATATAACTATAGGTTCAAACCTGTGTATCTTGTATCAATATGTTAAATAAAAAGTGTGGAATATATCTCATTTTGTCTACAACTAGATATGTTACTGCGTGTTGATGTAGATTAAACAATTTTTTAATGTAAAAAAAATGATATGTTAAAAAAATTCAAATTATTAATAATTTAAATATTTATAAAAATAAAACAATAACAACAACAACAATAACAATAAATAACTTAATAAAAATAATCATATCTGAACCTATTCGAATTATCAAATAATCCAATACTAACCTAACTCAAGAAAAATTCAAGAAAAAAAAAGTCAAACAAAAAAAATATTGGCTTAAAAAAGAAAGATAAAAACCAAGCAAATCTAGACAAATCTTCTAAACCTAGTCTTATCTAAAAAGTTATAATTTGTTATATCATGAAACCAAGTTCAATTAAAAAAATTAAATATAATCCAATTTAATTTTGAAAGTTGCAATCTTGAAAAAACCATTAATAAAAAATCTTGCAAAATAAAAAAAGAAGCAACAAAAAAAATATAGAGCTAAAATCTAACAGAAAAAACTCAATGAGGATGGAAACTGAAAAGAAATTATCGCAAGCAAAACAAATTCAATTAAAATAATTATGATCAAAATTGAAAGATTAAAAAAATTATAAGGGGTGAAATTAAAAATCATTTATAGATTTAAAAATGATGGGGGTAAAATATAAAAACAATTATTGACGGCTAACTAAATAGAATCAAATAAAAAAAATAAGAAAACAAAAGTTAAAAATAGAGAATTAAACCAAAAAAATATTAAAAAAAGGTTATAAAGGATTAAAAAAATAAGACAACATCAATTTAAAAAAAAAAGAAAAAAAACAAAACAAATCTCTTAAACCTGATCTAATATCTAAAAGTCGCATCGCAGTATATTTTTTATCCTGATTTAATGAAGAATCATATTTTTCAACTAATTTAATTTAGAAGAATGAGATCAATAGAAAAGTATTAATAAAAAACTTGCAAATTAAACATAAATAATGAAAAAATATGATAAAAATCCAAGGAAAATGCCATTTAATGAAAAAAATAAAAAATAATCCCAAATAAAATAAATATCAATTAAAAAAATAAAAACCAAATTTTAAAGATAAAAAATATAATAAGTGGTAAAATTATAAACATCTATGAAAGCCAAGTAAACTCGGACAAACATCTTCAATATGGTCAAATCTTAAAAATCTTGCAACCTATTAAACTCCGGATCAAGGTTCTATCAAAAAAATTTATTATAAGTCAATTTAAAAAATTTATCAAAGCAAAAAAAAAAGATATAAAAAAAACCTTAAGCAAGTTTGACAGCTAGCTCGAGTCAACAAATCAAACACATGGTCTAGGACATAAAATTATGATGACCATATAAATAAGAAAGCTAAAAAAACATTAACAAAAAAATATTAAAAAAAATAAAGTCGAATCAAGCTAATCTTTCATATCTATTACCTAGGTCATGAAACTAAGGTGACCACGTCAAAGGCAAATTATAAAAAATAAAGAAGCAATATTTTTAATTAAACAAACTTTGAAGGATGAAAATGAAAAAAAAAATAAAGTAAAAAAACATTGCAAAACAAAAAAACAATTAAAACAATTATGACAAAATTTGACATAAAAATTAAATGAAATAAAATGTTTTGGTAAAAATCAAATCAAATCAAATATTGAGTGATGAAATTGTAAAAAATAAATTCATTAAGAAAATAGCAATTAAAATAATTAAACCAAATTTAACATAAAAATTAAATAAAAATAAATGCATAGGGGTGAAATTGTAAAAGAGTAAACCAATCAAGAAAATGATTTAAAAAATAGAAATTAAAATAATAAGGACCGAATTTGACAACAAAATTAAAAAAATCAAATGACCAGAGATAAAATAAAAAATAAAACCCAATTAGAAATAATCAATGTAAATAAAAAAATTACAAATAAGAGAAGAGGGACTGAATCAAAAGAAGAAATAAAATGAAGGACTAGAATGATTTTTTTCATTGCCAGCATGCAATCTGAGAAAGAAAGAAAAGGAAAAGAAAGAAAATAAAAGTAATTTCAAGTTAAATCACACCGAACCACGATATACATGCCACTCAAAGAAAAATATGATGTCAAGATGAATCAAATGATACTGCAGAATCACAACTACAATCACTTAAGTTAACTAGTGATACGACTAAAAAATTGATATCTTCCTCCAAGTACAGGAGTGTCGAAGTAATAAATAACCTGGTAAGACCGGGGTCGAATCAGAGGGAGGTTAATTGTACAAATTATAAACAACAACAACAGTAACAATAACAATAATAATAATAATAATAATAATAATAATAATAATAATAGCAATAATAATACTAATAATACTACTACTACTACTA